TTTCATAAAGCCTAGGCCTTATAGAAACCTCATAGAAAAATGAACATGCAACATTCAATTTGTAGGCAGGAATTATCCATACCATGGCATAAAGTAAGGGAAACATTTAGTCTATGGGGCCCAAAGTCGTCAATTGGATCATTCCCTTTGCTATGTGATGCATTGTATTCCCAAAATGGACTCTGACGTATAACTTGGTTTATTTGTTTGCCGATTGTTTACATTCGTGAAAGAACTCCGAATTTTAAACATTTCCTCCATTGTGTTTACTTCTTAGTCAATATATCCTGCTTTCCAAAAAATTTCATTAATTTCCTAAAATTCAAGCAAATAATAGATGTTAAACTTCCACTAGAGGGTTTTTTTATTCACCCAAAAAGAAAATCCAGGGTTCTTGAAATTACAAAGCAAGAATGTTTTGACAGGGTAGTGGCTTTGTTAAAAGACGTAAAGCCTCACCTCAAAAAATTAAAGTGCTTTCGAACAAGGATTTCAAGTAAAACTTTATTTCGTTTCTGTTATGCCTAGGTCTTATAGAAATTGCATCAAAAAACAAATTGCTCAAATTTATGTTTTTATTTTTCCACATATTTAGACTTTAAGTCTAATTGATTATTGGCCCATGCTTCATTGAAAGGGGACGACATTCAGTTGGCTGCTTGCCATAATCAATAATAAATGGATGAGGGCACTGTTCTATTTTTTTGGGTAATTAAATAAGGGTACTTTTGTTATTTCAAAGCAATGGTTTAAAAAGTAGATCGGTGACCCGGATTGGACACTTTAAAAATAGATTCGGATCGACGAATCGGTGATGTGGATCGAGAATTGACTGAATCGGTCAGATTAAAGCTTCAAAAAAATCCAAAAAAATTATTAAAATTTATTATAATTGTTTTTTAGGAATTCAAGAAGAAATGAGGGTACTTCATTAAGAATTTTCATTTTTTTGCATGAATTTGCGAATAATGATATGTTCTTTCCATGCATGAACTACTATTTACCATTTAATTTACATCACACAAAGGGATAAACATAGAATTATCATGGAATAAGTTCTATCAACATGCAATTTTTTCAACAAAAACTTTAACAATAAAAATTAAAATTTGGTTTAATACCTCATGATAATTAAAACCTAGTCACTATTTTCACATCTTTTCAAAAAATCACGATTTTTTAAAAAAAATCGATCATGTACTAAAAAAACAAAACAAATAAAAACAATTCTTCACAGAGCCACCTAACATTAGTCATGCCAACTCAAAAATGCATTAACAACAAATTAAAAAAATACAGTTTTGCATTAACAATATAATAACATGCATTTTTTTGCATAAATAATCTATCAGCATACACTGTTTTCAACAAAAAATTTAACAATAAAAATTAAAAATGTGGTTTAATACCTCATGATAATCAAAACTTGGTCACTATTTTCACATCTTTCGGAAAATCACGATTTTTCAAAAAAACTTGATCATGTATTAAAAAATAAAAAAAATTCTTCACAGAGCCACCTAACATCAGTCATTCCAACTCAAAAATGCATTAACAACAAATTAAAAAAATATAATTTTGCATTAAAAATATAATAACATGCATTTTTTTGCATAAATAATCTATCAACATACAAATTTTTCAAGAAAAACTTTAACAATAAAAATTAAAAATATGGTTTAATACCTCATGATAATCAAAACCTGGTTACTGTTTTCACATCTTTTAGGAAAATGATCATTTTTAAAAAAATTCGATAATGGATAAAAAAAAAAAAATACAGCAAACTCAAACAATAAAAATTAAAAATATGGTTTAATAACTCATGATAATCAAAACCTTGTCACGATTTTCACATCTTTTAAAAAACATCACAATTTTTCAAAAAATTCGATCATGGATTACAAAAAAAAAAAAAAAATACTATTCTTCACAGAGCCATCTTACATCAGCCATTTCAAGTAAAAAATCCACCTCCAAACGAATAAATTACATCCAATTGAGTACATGTTTTGATAAACAACACTATAAGGAATCAAAACCCTAAATTATGAATACATTATCATCAATAAATCAAATCAAATCGATTAAATTGAGCAAAAAAAAAAAAAACGTAGTTCTTCACAGACGACAGTCATTGAATCTAAAAAATGAAGCTCAAATTGAATACATCTTATTATAAACAAGACTATAACGATTCAAAACCCTAGAAATCTAACACATTATTTGTAATATATCGTGAACAATAGATCGAAAGGCAGCATAATTTTTTTTTTACAGACATCACTGTGTTCTTCTAAAAACTCAGGTTGTAATTGAATAAATTAAATAAAATTGAATATGGTAAATGATAAAAGACACCATAAAGATTTAAAACCCTACAAATTTAACTAATTATTTTCAAAATATGGGCTGAAATTGATCAAATGGCGGAAAAAAAAAAAACGCAGAGTTCTTACCTGGTTTCGTAAACCCGTGGCTTCAATTTCCAAATTAATCTGTTTTTTTCAAAGATAATCACAAATTTGTAACAGAAATTTCTAATGAACGCATTTACGATCAATATGCCTCAAACTTTTTACAGATTCATGCCCTATTTGGCATGAAACAAAACGAAAAGTAGAAACCCTAAAACCCGCAACTTTCATGATCCAAAAAATTGAATTTTTTCCACCATTTAATGCATGAAAAGGCTGAAAAAGTTGCATAAAGCCTGAATAGTCGATCATATGGTAAAAAAATAAAAAAATAATAAAAAAAAGACAAATTTTGAAGAAACCCATGAAGAACACTGTGTAGCCCATGTTCTCCACGAGACTTACCGATTCGGTACAGTAAATAGGCGATTCATTATACAGAATCGCCCGGTTCCCTCTGGAATTAGGTGATTCCGTGTAAAATACCAGAATCGGCACGAACTATGCCGATTCCCGAGTTGAACCGGACTCGACGTTTTTTAAAACACTTTTTCAAAGGTAAAAGATGATCTTGTTCGTCACTTGGAAATGGAGATTAAATGCAGACGGTCCTGTGTCGGCTGCAGCGACGGTATGGACGAGATTAAGAAGCCCTTGATTAGCGTCCCTACAATTTTGCTATTTTATCACTCATATACTTTTTTTCCTGTCTTTTTTAACATTTTAAAAAAGAATGTTAAATGTTGCTATTATGTGATCCTGACTTGGGATAGTGACTATTCGATAGAATGTTAAATATCCATCTCTTATGACTATCCTAATGAATTTCCCTTAAAATAAGGAAAAAATTTATATAGAGCCGAGGTTTTAAACAATTAAATTTGAGGCTACTTCAAAAATTTCACTAGAAGAGGTTGTTTTGATGCTCAAATATCGCCAAATTGATCATCTCGACATCAAGATGTATGGACATAAGAAAAAAATGGATTTCAAGTTTTGGAAATAGTGTATTTTGTAACGTAATTTTGGACCATCGATTTTCAAGATTTTCAAGTTTTCATAATCTATCGATCTATATTATTTTTAAAGCTTTAAATTTTATAAATAAATATGAAAATATATTTTAAGGCTATCACAAATATTTTCAGTATTGAAACTACATTTCTCGATACTATTTAAAGGTAGGCTCTAATTTGATTGTTTAGAGCCTAGGCTCTATACAAACCGCACCCTAAAATAATGACCATAGAAATATATCAAATTATTAGAAGGGACAGGTAACTGTTTTTCCATGACACATTATGAGCTACAGTAAACACTAAACTAAACTTATTAAATACCAACAAACTTATTAAGTACCCAATCAAGGTTTATTTGGTGAAAGTTTTGACAGTTAATTTTTCTATAATGGATCCCTAAATATGTCTGGTGGCTGCCCTATCTAACACAATCTTCCTCTTTTATGTTCAGATTGGGATCCACTACCGCATTTATCCGAGCCGGGGAATATGATCAGATTGGGATCGGCTACGACATACTGTCATAAGAAAGTAGAGAAGTACAAAATAAGGTTTGCTTCATTCACGTTATTTGATGTTTCCTAAAATGCAAAATTTTTATGAGCTTGTTGTTGCAAGTAGAGGCCCTTTCTTTGAACAGCAAATAAAATGATTGACTTTATTTTTGGTTTTGAATTAAAGTACAGTGGCATTTCCGAAAATTGAGTACCCCAAGCAGGCAATCTTCTTTTTTTTCTTTCCCTTTTGCACTAACAAATTCGTTCGAAATTAGAAAGCATTCATTCCTCAGCACGTTTGAAAGATGTGATTTTTTGTTCTTAGCTGGTATCAGCATTTTTGTTCCCAAAGCAGCCCGTGAAAAAGATGATAAAATCTAACTCATTTTAATTTTACTCTCTAACTCTGTAGTGCATGTGAATGTTCTTCATTCATTTAATTCTCTCTCTCATCTCTTGCTGGTAAAATAAATGTTTATCAGATTCTCTTCTCCCTCAAATTTGTTCGAAATCAGATAATTATGGATTCAATGCACATTTCATATCATGAAAATCCCAGACTTTTGACCAAAATTTGAGAAAGTAAAATCATAGGTCGATAAGCTTGTTTAATTGCCTTAGAATTTTAAAATGTAATGTTAATAGTAAGCTAAATTTTGCCGGTATTTACGATATTATTAATGTGACCACTTTGTACTAAAAGTAAATCGTCTCTTTATATAACTTTATAATTTTAAATTAATTAAGTCAACTCATTTTATTTATCCAAAAAAATTTTTTAATTCATTTTCCCTTAGTGTTGGTCAATTTTTTATGGAAAAAGGTCATCATGATTTACAAATCTATGGGGTCACCTTTTGTTCAGAAGATAGTGTTGTTGGTTTCGGTCATTTTCATTACAACTTAGGGCAATATTTTCCTGCCTTCAATTCCTTTTTATAATTGGTTATTTTTACCATGTATACCAATTAAAAACATAAAAAGATTTTTATATTATTTTTTCCCACTGTTTAGCCATTGTTTTATATTTCAGATCACTTGTCCCTGAACTTTTTCGCCCTCAAAAGACAAAGCAAAAGAGTGGAGAGAGGAAATCGTTACGGTTTTTTGGATTTTCACAGTGATTGGCGGTGGAGTTCATCTACTTGAGCAGAAACTAGAGAGAAAGATTACTATTTAGCCGCTGGACCCGGATTTATGAGAGAGAAAGACAGATTTAATAGGGGATAAACTTCGCCCATACAAATGGCGTCTCGAAAACATATCAAACAAACAATGAACTCAAGCGGTGGGCTTTGATTAGATGGATTGACTGGTTATATCAATCATGAAACAAAATTTCCAAGTGGGTTGTGATGCGATCACCGAAACATTATACCCCACCTGTTTAAGAGCCGAAATTTCAGCCGAAATCTGCTGAAAACTCGACGGCATGTGGCCTCCAAGCCATTGCTGCTATAACCAGTAGAAGCCTTGCAGAAATTACCCATTTTCTATTTACTTGAGGTTTCAGTGAGAAAATGTATTATGGGAGGTAGATATGAGATGGGTTTTACTTTCTTTTTTATCTTTGGGGCATTTGTTATTAAACAAGGGACCATGAAGCATTCTGGGATGAGAGCAGTTGTTGTATCAGAGTAAGTTAATTCCAGGACCCAGTCTGCTCGTTTGGTGAATTCAAGGTTCGTACTTGGCCAGTGTACAGTGAGAGGAAAGAGGGTATTATCGATACTTGAAGCGTAATAACCAGGTGAGTTATGCTACTCTTTGAGAGTATTTACACCCTCTGCACTCGCATTTCAGTGCTCTTTGGTTTTTTTTTTCCAGCTAGTGTTTTTCCTTTGTCTGAGATACCATTTCTTAGGGCTTTTCCTTTCGTTGAATATGCCATTTCGTATTGAATTCGCCAAATATCTCATTCTTTCTGAATTGGTGTTTTCTTGGATCTGGGTTATAACCATGGAAAAGAGTTCTAGCCTGCAACTGTTTAACAACCCATTAATTTTTTTTCCCTGTTGTTTTCTATTGTTCTCTGCTTGTTGGATAGTGGGGCTATATGGGTTTTGACTGGTTTTGGTGTTTTCAGGTTAGATGATGGCAAGGCCTCTTCATCGAGGATTTTCAGGAGGAGGCCGAGTTGCTGAGACTAGTAGAGTCGGGGATTCATGGGGTTCTCCGAAGAAAGAGGATTCATGGGATTCTCAGATGAAAGATAAGATTGAAAAGGAAGGTTTCGATAAACCACGCCCTCTACCTTATGTAGTGAGTTTCTGGACCAAGTTAATTGGTTTTGATGCCTCTTCTGATCACATCTTTTTGAAACAAGGTCCAAGGCTTTCGAGCAAATCTCTTGCTGAAAATGGTTTTGGATCTGATCCAAAAGACCTATCTTCCCAGATCCACAGTAGAATTGATTTGGATTCGCCTAGTGCTCGAAGAATTCGGCAGGGAATGGTGGCTATGCGCCTTCTCCAATGGGCTTTAGCTTTGATTGTTTTGATTTCTGTGTCTGGTTTCTTATGGTGGACCATTTCAATTTCATCTTCGAGAAGTGGAACCGTTTACAGGGGTTATAGGAGGCTTCAGGAACAGGTCATAGTGGACCTTGTGGATATTGGGGTGCTCTCCAGTGGTGTCTCTAATAAGCTGAAGGAACTGGATTTTTGCTCTCATGATTTGGAGAACTTTGTGCCTTGCTTCAATGTATCGGAGAATTTGGCTTTGGGTCACTCAAATGAAGATGAGTACGATCGGCAGTGTGTTCATAAATCAAGAGAAAAGTGCTTGGTTCTTCCACCCAAGGATTATAGGATCCCTTTGAGGTGGCCCACGGGAAGAGATGTTATATGGAGTATGAATGTGAAGATTACTCCTGAACAAGTTGTTTCATCGGGGAGTTTGACCAAAAGGTGCATCTGACTACGCTTGATTTCACTAAATTTCGAAATTGTCTAATTTCCTTGATATGGTTGAGAGAAAGTAAAGCTAGATTTTTTTTCGGCTATGACAATTCTTCTCTCAATTTCTCTAAGCAACTTTATTGATTTCAAAGAGCCTTTTTGGAGCTATGGGATATCTCTCTTTTCCTCTTCTCTAAAGAGCTGACACGTCATTTTTATTGATTCCAAAGATGGAGCCTTTGTGGCGCTAAATTTAAATTTTCCGGTTTAGAATCTCAATGGTTTGCTCTTTCACAGGATGATGTTATTGGAAGATAATCAGATTTCTTTTCGTTCAGACTCCCTCATGGTGGATGGGGTTGAAGATTATTCTCATCAAATAGCAGAAATGATAGGGCTGCGGAATGAATCTAATTTCATTCATGCTGGCGTAAGTTCCTATTCCCTCTTGTTTCAATCTTGGAAATTATTTTTCTGTTTGAGGGTACTTGTTCTGGCTATGTGAACATGGCTGAGATGCATTAGCCACTTACATTGATTCATTTTTCACACTGCCTTTTAGATCTTTGCATCTTTGCATTTTTCACACTCACATTGAGGTCGTTGAGGATGTGTCAATGTTTGAGCATCAAGTCCAAAATAAAATTTATCAAATGTTGTGACACACTTTCATCTATTGGATCTCACATTCAATGACTAAAAGTAGTTGTGACCTGCTAACTCATAGCTACAGTAAATGCCAATGGCCTAGATTGAATCTAGGCTGATCCAATGGTCATGTTTGTATTTCATATTTGAATTTTAATCTTTTTTTTATAAATCCAAATCACATAAAGTTTGAGACATCCATCAAGGTGTACCTAATAAAAATATTAAAAAAAAATTCGTAAAAAAAGTAAATTGACCAAAATTAAATTGGTCCATTTAATTTTTTTGAATTATTTTTGTGATATTTTTATTAGATTCGCCTATTCTTTAAAAAAAAATTAAAATTAAATACGAAATGAAGTCGTGACTGTCTGATCAGCCCACATTCAATCTGGACCGTTTGGCTTTTACACTATTCCATCACCCCATGGCCTGACATGATATTTTCCTTATATTTATATATATACATACGGTTTACATAAAAGAAATAAGAGGAGGACTGAATTCGGATTTAAGGTGTCATTCTCTTAGTTTATACTTGTTTCTTACTTAGGCTTAACATAAAACCTTATAACCTTACCTTGACTAAAACAATCCACAAATGCATAAGGACATTGTTTGCTCTGTTTTGACTGCTATTAGAAATTTTGGATGTTAAATGTGTATCATCCAAGTGTCAACTATAGTGATAGTGAGTATTCCAGTGTCCATATGATTACCAAAAGCTGGTATTGGTTCTATCTCCAGTGTCCGATGTATTTCTAGCCTTTGCTTGATTATTTTATCAAAATAAAGAAAAGGCAACAGTCCTTTTCCGACAATGAAGAAACTATCTCCTTGGCCACCCTAGGCATTCATTACCAAAGAACGAAGCAGGTAGCTTTCCTTGAAAGCCTTCATCATAAGATATTCATTCTAGAAACCAACGCCACTGGTAAAGGACAGTGCAGAGCTTTTCATCACTTTTGCGAGAACTTTGAGGTTTATCATAATCGTCTGAGCCTTATCCCATCTATTTGGGTTTGGCTACACGACTCCTGTTCCGTCGTTCTGCTCTATCCGAGCCTTATCCCATCTATTTGGGGTTGGCTACATGACTCCTGTTTCGTCGTTTTGCTCTATCCGAGCCTTATCTCAACTTTGAGGTTTTATACAGTTGCTGATTTAGTATTTGAGAATTGGATTCCCTAAGAGGGCTCTAGAAGGCCATTGACAAACCAGCAGACTAGCAATTCTGCAATAATGAAAAATAATCGGGACATGCCTTGGTCGGTTGACTTGTATCAAACAGTTGACTCCTTCAGCCAGCCATAAATTTGGCAAGTCTTTCGTACCATACCAAATCTTTGTTTTTTAACACATTCAATTGACTCTATGTGTTCCATTAAAATTACTAAAAGGCCTAAAGCTCATGCACTGTGTGTCATATATGTAACCATGGAAAGAGGGTTCTCTTCCTCTTATGTCCATAGAGTTTCTTCTATCCTAAAATTAAAATTTGTATCTTTATGAATCATATTTGAATGTCACAGTTGTTTGAGTTTCTTGGTAGTCCCATCCCCATCTTTCTTCATGTCCTCAAAGATGTTGATGCTTTGATGTTACCTGACTCATTTCGCTGGCTCGAAAGCAACAAGCAACAGCTATTATTCTCAAAAGTCTCAAATGTGCTGAAGCAACATCTTTGCTTTAAGGAATTTATTTGAAAATTTCTGAAGCTGAAGACCCTTCGTCTCATACAATTTTCAAACCTGATCAAAGATTTTTGTAATTTTTCTGAAGAAAAATATTTCTGAAATTATTGAATTACGTATGAGTAATTTATTTTTAATGTGCACATTACAAGTAATTTACACAATTTCTATTTAAAAATGTGAGTCCTGATCTTTTGCAATGAAAAATGTTTCTTTTGCAGGTTCGAACTGTTTTAGATATAGGTTGTGGGTATGGTAGCTTCGGAGCACATCTCTTCTCCAAACAGTTACTGACCATGTGTATTGCAATTTATGAGGTTTATGGTAGTCAAGTTCAATTAGCTCTTGAAAGAGGCCTTCCTGCAATGATTGCCTCTTTTAACTCTAAACAGCTGCCGTATTCTTCCCTTTCATTTGATATGTTACATTGTGCTCGGTGTGGAATAGAATGGGAACAGAAAGGTACTCCTCTTGCTATTCTTGGCCTTTCCCCCCCCCTCTCTCTCTTCTCTCTCTCTCTCTCTCTCTCTCTCTCTCTCTTGCTCTATATGCTTGCGTGTGTGTGAGTATGTGCTTGTGCTGCTTCAACAATGTGCAAGTTCTTAAGAAAATTTCTCTCCATGTATTTGAAATTACAGTATTTTTTCAAAGTAGGGCAGAACCGTGACAATTTAATGGATTTGTTGTGCATGTGAATGAGTTATCTGCCTAACATTAGTCAGTCAATGAAAGCACCGTTTGTGCTTTAGTTAGAGAATATGCTGAGAATTATCTATAAGATTACAACCATAAAGAAAAGAATCAACTTCTCCAGTTCCTAGCTTGTATTTCGTGCTCCCTACTTACACCTGTTCTCATCTAAAAAAATTTTAATGATACAATTTCTGTTTTGGGGTAAGATGTGGCATATTGTTTGTGGAGTTTCCGGCAGAGTCCCAGCATGAATTTTTCTCCCAGAGGCTGGTAGGTGTACTAATGATTAGGTTTGTTTTATTTCATTCTGGTGCTTCTGAGAAGGTGACAGATTTACTTTTTGTATAGGATTGGCTCAAGTTACCACGGATGATTGCTCATTGTCCTTTTTGTTTTTAATCAAACTGAAAAGGAGAAATCTATTTACGGTGCACATTGGAGACTCTGGGAAGACGGTGGCTCCCCCTATTGAGCCAGCTTTTTAAATAGCTTTTCTTTTTCATTTACAATGATTACGTGTAATTCAATTGCTGACAAGTTTCTTGGACATGAAGAGAAAAACCATACCCTGGACTTGGGAACATATTGCTTCAATATTACTCATGTGACAAGGGAAACCCATGCTTGTAATTGCAATTTAGGATTGAGTGTTGTATTTTTCGTCAAAAGCCCGGTGATTTTGCGTGAATAACAAATCTAGGCTTCATTCTAGAGCACCGATTTATTTCATAATACTATTTCTTATTTATATGTGTGGCATATTCATATGTTACAAGTACACATTGAATTGTTATAACGGAAAGTTCACACTTAATGTTGCTGATGCAGATGGTGCTTTCCTGATTGAGGCCGATAGAGTTTTAAGGCCTGGGGGTTATTTTGTCTGGACTTCACCACTAACAAACTTGCAGGGATCTAGTCGCAATAAATCAAACCAAAAGAAATGGGAATTTGTACGTGATTTTGCTTTAAATCTTTGCTGGGAAATGTTATCACAGCAAGATGAAACTGTGGTCTGGAAGAAGACAAGTAGAAGAAACTGTTATGCTTCTCGGTAAGGCAACCCAGCTTTAATTTTTATTATGGTTGACACTACATATAACAGGTACACCCTCTACAATCCAATGGACTATGAATAAGCCTTTGTATATCTGGTCATCAATGTCCATTGAAATGACAGACAGTGATGGAGAGAGTGGAACCCAATGGTGGATGCCATTCCCTCTCAATGGATGATGATGGAGAGAGAGTGGGATTCACCAGTGGAAACTTTCCCTCAGTCCATTTGATACCATCCCTTCCCTTACTTGGTTTAGACATGCACACTAGGAAAAAGCTGGCGTAGGCCCACTAGCCTACAACTACATATGAGCTCAACGGCCCAGATTTAATTTGGGCCGATCTGACGGTCACAACCTCATTTCATATTTTAATTTTAATTTTTTTCTACATGTCCAAATCACTTGATATTTTAAACGTCTATTCTTCTCATCAAGGCGTATCTAATAAAAATCAAAAAAAATAATTCGTAAAATATAAATTGACCAAAATATCCCGGAAAAGTTTTGGGGGTATTTTGATCAATATATTTTTTACAAATTATTTTTTTGATATTTTTATTAGATTCTCCTATTTTTAAAGAACACACGCTCAAAATTTCAAGGGATTTGGGTTTATAGAAAAAAAATTAAAATTCAAATATGAAATGCAATCATGAACATTGGATCGGCCGAGATTCAATCTGGGCCGTTGGGCTCATATGTAGCTGCAGGCTAGTGGGCCTACGTGAGCTTTTTCCTGTACACTAAACATCAATGATTTTATAAGTACTGACTTCTTTCATTCAAATTCCCAGGGAATTTGGAGCTGGTCCTTCTCTTTGCTTCAAGGGGCAGGACATCGAATCACCATATTATCGACCTTTGCAAACCTGCATTGCCGGAACTCATAGTCGTCGATGGATCCCCATTGAAGAAAGGACTAGTTGGCCTTCTCGGCTTATGTTGAATGCATCAGAAGCTTCTTTACATGGTACATTGTGACAATTCTTGTTTTGAGGGAAAATTCTGGAGATATCAATGGCTTGTATGCGATGAAGGTTAATACAAAGGGAAAGTGTGTATAATGCATTGTCTAAGAGTGAGCCATAGCCATTGGGACATCAACATCCGTTGAAATATGGATGGTCCTGTAGAGATAGTCGGACGTGCTACCCAATTGTGGGTCTCAGTCTCTTTATCGTTGCTCATTTTGTTAGTGAATGCTGATGAAGGACTTAGTCCATGGGATATTTTTTACTTCCCCTTCTTCAAATATGATATGTTAGATCTTGATTCTTGATTATATTGCTACTTTGGCTTCTGTCATTAAGATCGATATGTACTGATCTCTTGTATCTACCAGGTGTACACAAGGAAGACTTTGATGAAGATGGCTATAACTGGCAGTCAATGGTCCGTAACTACTGGTCTTTACTTTCTCCTATTATCTTTTCAGACCATCCAAAAAGACCTGGGGATGAGGATCCTTCCCCACCATTTAACATGGTCCGGAATGTGCTGGATATGAATGCCCTGTTTGGTGGGTTTAATGCTGCTTTGTTAGATGCTCGTAAATCAGTGTGGGTTATGAATGTTGTGCCTAAAGGTGGTCCGAATTACCTTCCGCTTATCCTTGATAGAGGACTGGTTGGTGTTCTTCATGACTGGTATGCCATTTTTCTTTGTCTGTGTTCATAATTTACTAATATTGCTCTCTTGTTGGTTAATTTTCTGCCTCTTGATACTTTCATAATATGGAAAACGTATTTCTAATATTGTTATTCATGAAAATCTATTTGCTCTTTTCTCCACAAGGATAAGTCATGATGACTTTCTTAAAAAATGATTTCCTTGTCGGTGATTTAGTTTTCCTTTAGGTTTATCTTGTCCTTGGAAGTTTGAGATCTTGGAGAAATCTGCTTAATGATGATGTTCATACCATGAATAATTAATTTTTGTATGCAATTTATATGTTTGGTGTTTGAAACAATGTTATTAGGGCTGGACTAGAGGCATAACTGGTAGGGGAAATGGTTTAATCGTACCGTCGAACCAGACCAGTTCACCTGTTAGATTGGTCTTTTTTTCTTTTTGGTAATTTGAAAATTCAGAAAAATACAAATAAATTGAAAAGAAAGAGAAAATAGGAAATAAATCTGAAGATCTAAAAAAGTCTGAAAAAATTCAGAAAATTATTAAATCAATGTTATAAGACAAGTTGGAAAAATATAAAAACATTACAAAATTTTGTCAAAACCAGTTTGAGCTGGCGCTTTGCACTGGTTCTACCGGTTAACAGGTTTGAACTGTCTGGTTTGGACTGGTTTGATGCGCAACCCCATTTGGGATCCCTTAACTGACCGGTTGGGGCACCCGTTCCCTTTCTTAAGTGGCCATTGCTGTCCTGTATTAATTTTACTGGTTTGAAATAGCAGATGCACAAGATGTTATATGGTTTGGCAATTCAGCATCTACTAACCAACCAGAATTTTTTGTATTTCTAACTTTCCATGCAAAGCTTGACCTTTTGCTTAATTACCTCGGAGGTCACAACAGACTATGTGAAGCCAATGATCCATTTCTATTAAAAACAAAACGCTTGAAGTCTGATTTGCATTTCTTTTAATGGCACATTGTATTTCTTCCTTTCTTTTTTCCTTGTTGAACACATCCACATTTTGACCTTGAATTTGTTGCCCTCCTCTGTTTTCTTGGCCTTTGATATCCGTTATCATTCTCCCTCATTCTTAACAGTAAACAATTTTGAAATTTTATGAAGGGTCTCTTTATTATTGATGAGGAGCTTAGAGACATATGCTTGAATCTTGTGTGTCAAACTCTCTCTTGCATTACTGGAGGACACACCTTGTTTTCTTGTGATAGAGGGAAAAATAAGTAGCTGCATAGCATTTGTTATGTCGTTTCTTCTCTGTATGATGTCTTCTCGTACTTCTGTCTTTCATTCTCTGGTATACGGCTCTTAATATCATCAAATATACACTTAAGGATGTGGCCATTTTAAAGGAGCTTTTGTATTCAATCAATAAGGGTGCAACCCTTTCGTTATTGCTTAGTGAAGTGAACGAAGTATGTATTTGTTATGATCTCTTTTGGCATTTGAACTTATGAATATTGACTAAAGACTCTGCACTTCATTCTTACTATCATTGTAATTCATGCTCTATCATTGTCAAACTGGCATAATAATGAAATGGTTCTTTTTTTATATAATGTATGTTCAGCCTTATTGTTATTTCTGTAGTAACTACTGAAAAAACAAAAGAATAATATCTGCCATTTTTGTGTTACATATTTGCCTGTCATTTTCAAGGCTGCTTTTGGATTTTGTCTGGTTTTAAGGCTTTATCATTGCTACTTGTCAGGTGTGAAGCGTTTCCAACATATCCTCGGACTTATGATTTGATTCATGCTCAAGGCATTGTTTCTTTTCAGACTGCTAGCCGTCCTTGGTGCCCAATACTTAATTTGTTCTTAGAGATGGACCGAATTCTCCGGCCTGAGGTGATGATTATTTTATCATGTCTTTTAACTCATGCCATACTTCATCAAAATATTGTACTTCCCATAATTCAAGTACATGATTTCTGTTTTGCTATTAATGTTCATTTTTAGCTGAGCAACTTGCAATTTTTTAGAGCTTTTACAGCTTCTCGGAGCAGGCCTTGAATGTAATTTTTAGAAGATACTACCAAATGTGGTAGCAGAATACTTTACTAACTAGGTATACTGGTTTGGGTTGAGATAACCAGATTTTCCTATTTCAATAGTTTTGCTTTTTATTGTCAAATTTGGCACCCATGTTTTTGGATTTATTTAAGATTGTTCTCTACATAAAACAATGGGAAAGATCCTACGATTGCATTGTTCAAGGTCACATCTTAGCTTTTGATTCTTGAGCATTTATATGTTCCATTAGCAACTTCAAGAAATTGTTATTCGAAGGTGAACATGGAAGCCACATGCAAATAGCTTGTAATCTCAGATTGCAAATGACGATTGGGATCTGTTCCAAGAAATAATATTGGAAGTCTCTGGCATGAACAACTTGAATGCATATAAAACCATAGTTTCCTTTTTGTTGATTGATGATAAGGAAAATATCAAATGCACATTTTATAGATCTGATGTAGTTGGAAGAGTCAAACGTCATTTTTAGACCAATGGGAATTAATGCCTTGAGTCTGGCTTTTTGGAGATGGATTCTCCATGGGGAACTTGTGAGGATTTGAGAGAATCTGCACTGACATAGAAACATTTTGGAAATATGGTATCAGAGATTGAAGTTGTAAGTTGGTCATAACATGGAATGAAGGATGTAACTTATGAAGTGCAACGTTTTCCTGGATCTCATAGCATGACACCTCTAGGATCTTAATTACTCATTTATTGAGGATTGGGCTTATGCAACCATTTTGGTTCTGTCGACAGAATGTTTTGCCTTTTGGTCTTGTATATCTTCATTATGGAACATTATGTGGTTTTATATGAGATGGCTTCTCGAATGGAAGAAAAGTATTGTGGTACCTATTTTCAAGAACGAATGAGACATACGAAATTGTGCAAACTATCTAGGGATCAAGCTTATGAGCCATACTATAAAGCTCTGGGAGAGAGTCATTAAGCGACGACTATGGCATAAAACGAGTATATTTGAAAAGCAATTTGGTTTCATGCCAGGAAGGTCAACAACTGAGGCTATTTTCCTATTTAGGCGACTGATTGAGAAGTTTAGGGCGAAAGAAAAGG